ATTATATTAAAATGATAAACACATTATATCAAAATATTTGGTAAAAGACATTAAAATATTACACAATATTTTTAAATGTTAATCACAATATTTTAATAAATCTTTTATTTTTACAAACTAAATTTGGATGGCATCGACTATTGCACATTTGCCCTGATAGTTTAAAGCAGGAGTATTGTCTTCTTTACTTGATTCTTTTGTCATCAAAGTAACAATGTCATGGTATTTGTTCCTTGTCCATATCTTGCATTTTGTTTTTTCCTCTGCAATTTGCAGTAACTGTTGAGCATACGTTTGCTCAAACCAAAGCAGCATCTGTCCCTGTGTCATACTTATTTGTTTGTAAAATAATGTGGTTCACAAGGTAAATAAAATATAACTATAAAACTGTTCGTAAGAAAAACAAATAATAATTTGTCTATATTTGATTTTTTTTTATTATTGATATTCCCTGAAATCATATTAGGGAATTTGTAAAATAATAAGTAAAATGTTCAGTGATTATATAAAATCACTGGTCATTTTCAGGGATTATATATAATCACTAATGATTTTAGTGATTCTACATAATCCCTGAAAAATCAGGGATTCTACATAAACCCTGATTATACAAATTCACTGTAACATATACGTGTCTTAACGAGAACCCTGTATACTGACAGTATAAGGCCAAGTAAATTTAATTAGTAGATTTTCATCCAAATTTTTGAAAAAAATGGGGTGGGTGGGAGGATTTTATTTTTTATTTTTTATTAAATATGAAACGCTCTTGTGACGTGTTCTTCATATATGCAAGTGTAATAATAAGGTTCTATCATGTACATACATGTATAACGAATCAAACATACAAAGAAATGCAAAAACCAAAATTTGAAACAGGATGTTATTAATGAAACGAAATTATCGACAGTTACCGGTAACGAAAATGAACAAAATCCGGAAATCGTAAATTTTTCAAAATAAAAAAAATTGGGGCGGAACAATTTGAGAGGGGCGGGCGGGGATGAAAATCTATCAATTAATTTTAATTGGCCTAATAGTCCCAGCTCTGAGGACAGACAATCCTGAGTATCTGGAAAAAATTTAAGGCATAGCATGCCCTAGATAAACAAATATCAAATACAATTTTTTTTTGAAAATTAAAAGCTTAGCTGGATTTTGCAGTGCACTTTTTTTTCATTCCTCAAGAAGATGCCAAAATAAAGTTGAGAAAGAGGTTTGAGAACTTCCCCACAGGTAATAATTGAAGTGAACTGTATTGATTGCCAGGGACAATAGATACCTGCCAATAATTGGTGGTTTAAACTGTACCTGAGTGGACCATATCTTGTGAAACTCAACTGTTTGTCAATTTTATCATCTTCTGCAGGGACGAAAAAAAGTGCACAGCAAAATCCAGTTAAGTTTAAAAATTTCTAAAGCATAAAAATGCATTTGAATTTTATTGATCTAGGGCATGCTATGTCTTAAAATTTTTCCAGATGCACAGGTTAGTCTGTGCTCAGAGTAAATTTTGAGGTGATAACACAGCCATTTTAGCCAAAGGGTCCACATGAACCTTAATAGATATTAGGTTTATGACCCCTTCTGTAGGCTTGTGCATTACAATATTTTCAAAGTGCAATAATAACAAAACAGCAAACGTACTGAATAAAAGATATGTGCCATTTTGTACATATACCAAAGGGAAATGTCGTTCTCATGAATTATATTTATTGTTTCATTGCATTCAATAGAAAATGTGGATATTGAGGATACCCAAGCCAAGATTCTTACAGAAAATCCCTAGACTTTAGTACATAAATTTTCACCGCAACATTTGGAACAGAGATAAATCACTTGTTTTTATACGCCAGTTTATGGGACGTATTACGGTATACCGTCTGTCCCTCCGTCGTCAACATGTCCGACATTAACTCAAAAACGCTTCAACCAATTTGCATAAAACTTTGGTGAATTGTTCATATCTTGTTATGTGAGCTCCCTTTCGTTTTTTATAAAATTTAGATTTTATGTTTCTGAGTTATGGGGTTTTGTTCATTAAAAAATGGGGGATTTTCCAGTTTTCAGACAATAACTCAAAAATGCTTTCACCAATTTGCAAGAAACTTTGGTCAATTGTTTATATCTATTGACATGAGCTCCCTTTTGATTTTTATAAATTTTTGATTTTATGTTTCCGAGTTATGGAGTTTTATTCATTAAAAAAAAAGAGGGACTTTCCAGTTTTCGGACAATAACTCAAAAAATGCTTTCAGCAGTTCTCATGAAACTTTGGAGAATTGTTTATATCTATTGATGTAAGCTCCCTTTCAATTTTTATAAATTTTTGATTTTATACTTCCGAGTTATGGGATTTTATTCATAAAAAAGCGGGGACTTTTTTAGTTTTCGGACAATACCTTTAAAGTGCTTTGAGCAGTTTTCATTAAACTTTGGTGACTGGTTTATATCAATTAAGATAACCTCCCTTTAGTTTTTCACAAATTTTTGATCTGACATTGAGAAGTTATTGAACTTTATTCGTAAAAAATGTGACGGGTGTATCATGTGCTCATGGCAAAGCTGTTTATTTTTCATGTTGTGCTAGTCTTTATTGTTTACAAAAAGCCTTAAACAACCATTACAATCCTAAAAACCTTGTGCTGAGTCACAAAAGTTGAGTGCACCCTAGACTTGAATAGGTCCATATTTGTACTTGTTTTATAAATTGTTTTAGGGAAACCATGTCCATTGCTAGCACTCCATGCAGTTATCCACTATCTATTAAGTACATAATATAAGAGTGCAAGGAAAAAGCCTGTGGATTTTTTATAAAATTTCCGTATGTAAAGCATTGAAACAACAAAAGGGTATACAATCATGACAATCCTTTGATTAAAAAAAACAACCCAAAAACAACATCGCCAAAAAGAAAAGTGCAAATAGACAAACAATAGTCAACAAAATACTACACAGAAAAGTCAGAATCCTGGGAACATGAATCCCGTATATAGGTTGGAAGTGAAACCAAGTATTTTGAAAGGGTCAGCAGTTCCTGATCCACCACAAGTGTTTTCATGTCATTCCCTCCCATGTTGTTCCAGGTTCGGGTTATCCAGCCCATATTTAGAGTAGATTTGGCTCCTATATCATGCATATATAAAAGTTAACAAGTGATTTATATTTTACCTGTACTAAATTAAAGTTAATGAATTTGATGAATTAAATCAATAGATAGATTTCGATTGACACAATTTGAGCAAGAGTTACTTCCCATTTGCCACCATGTTGAGTTTAAATGCACAATTTCCTTCTTAAATCAGCCATATTCAACTTGTTATACTGACTACTAGACTTTAGCATGTTTAGAAAGTTTTTTTCTGAACAATTTGAATTTCTTTTAGTCTTACTTGATTCATCACTACTATCTAGTTAGGATCATTTATCAGACTTGTATGTACAGCATGTTTTAATTTGGTTAATTTTTTTCGTCGATTGAAATTTTCATTTTCATCTTTTGCTTATTACATGCTGTGTCCCCTGATAAATGTATTTTCACGTTTGTACACATTTTAATAATTCCTGTATTTTGTGTTGCAGAATATCAATTTCCGTCCTGTCTTAGGCAAAAATTATTAATTTTCAGTTGTTGTCATGGTTGTTAGGAAAGAATATTCATTTTCAAAATCCTCAAATGTATTAAAAGACTTAACTAATCCAAGAATTCAAATATGTAAAAATATTAAATTTGTGACAGAACAACACTGTAGAAATGAATTCATGCGCTTCATGCATTCATGAATTAATTTGTGGGTTGATCACATGTTGAATATTTTTCTATATTTGAATTCTTGCAAGTTGTATCTATTATTCTCTAATTAATTGCCAACCAACTGAATTTCAACATGCACTAAAAAATTTCACAAGTAACAAGAATGAAAGAGAATAAAACGCAAAAAAAATGGGCTAAAGTAGGATATACTGATAAATAGTTATGGTTAAAGTAATTAAAATGTTTATAATTTTATGATTCATGTTAATGAAATAGACAAGGTTGACAGGGTTGACAAGGCAGACGAGTTGACAAGGTTAACAATGTTGACATGTTCCATAGATGGACTGATCAACAGATGGACACTATAGACAGGTTGATAGGGTTCTCAAGTTGATAAAATCCACTAGTTCAAGGGTGTTTTATGAAGGTAGAAAACAATTGTTTTTAAAAAGAAAAAAATACATTGCCTCCCTCAAAAGATGCATGGTCAGTCCCTTAATGTACATTTATACATGTATGTGCAAGCTTATGCCTTACAAAACAGTCCATAGGGAAAAACTTATTGATCCAGTTAACCTTTCGACCATGTCAATCTTATCAACCTGTTGACCCTGTCAATCTGTCCACCCTGTCAACCATGTCAACCTTATCAAACTTGTTTACCCTGTCAATCTGCCTACCCAATCAACCATGTCAACCTGTCTTCCCTTTCAACTGTTCATGCTCCTTATTTTTATGCCCCACCTACAAAAGTAGAGGGGCATTATGTTTTTCGGTCTGTGCGTCCGTTTGTTCGTTCGTTCATCCGTCCGTCAGTCTGTCCCACTTCAGGTTTAAGTTTTTGGTCAAGGTAGTTTTTAATGAAGTTGAAGTCCAATCAACTTGAAACTTAGTACAAATGTACATATGTTCCCTATGATATGATCTTTCTAATTTCAATGCCAAATTAGAATTTTGCCCCCAATTTCACAGTCCACTGAACATAGAAAATGATTGTGTGAGTAGGGCATCCGTGTACTATGGACACATTCTTGTTATATCTATTTTTTCCCCTAAGATTTACCAATGACTTGCATATATATATATAATACATTTGTTAGCATGGGACTGTTAGATAAATACCTAAACAAAGATACATATGAATCAACTTTCATTCAACAGTGATTCCTGCTTAAAGACAATAAAAAGTTATCTAATAAAGTTGATAATTAATCATTTCAAATCTTTTTTTCAGGTGGTCATGAAAGTGTAGTATTGGGAAAGATTTCATATTTTCTTAGAAGATGGAAAAGGAAACATTACATGTTGATAAATCATGTAAGTTAATTAGTGAATTAACTGATAAATTACCAGAGGAGAGTGAAAAGTGCAATAGAAAAACTCTGGACAAGTCAGTACAAAATCTGAAAGAGAATTTAAAGGAAAGTATTGCCATTAATAGAAAAACTCTGGACAAGTCAGTACAAAATCTGAAAGAGAATTTAAAGGAAAGTATCGCCATCAATAGAAAAGATGAAGGTAAAGAATGTCAGGCTGAACAAAAAAACATTTGTGGTAATGAATCTGATACCACATTGACAGATACAGGATTAATAACCTCTTATCAACATAAAGGTGAGAAATCAGAAGTCGGTCATCTTATGATGTTAAAGATTCTTTCAGACTCTATAGATGAAAGAGACTTCAGCCACAATAATTTTCTACCTGATAAGAATAATAATGCAAACCTTCCACAAACTGAAAGATGTAAAACGCCACCTACAGTAAGACCAAAAGATGGGGAGAGAAACTGTAAAATATCCAATCCCATTCCATGTACCGAAGCATCAAGAAATTTGTCATCACATAAAGGTGGATCATTGCATAATGTTGAAAATGAAAGGTTGTCTTTATCTGGATTGGTTAGAGTTTTAGGAGAAAGAGATGATATACTAGACATAAAACATATTAAAGATTTAGAATATATATGGAATTGTATAAAACCAGACAAAAAAGACGGTAAAAAATGTGCTGCTGTAGAGATTGTTGTCAAAGCAGACTACAATATCATCTTTAAAAACTGTCTAAAACATTTAAAAGATGTTGATTTCGAACAAACAGATTCTTTTACAGGATGGCATCAAGTTAAGTCCATGTTAAATGTTGCTTGGATGTTGTCTGATTCAAGTCCATTGTTTTGTAAGCAAACAATTGATGATACGGAAGCACTTCAGAACTTATATAATATAATGAGACTGATCATAGAATGTGATATGTTTGAAGAAAACAAAAATCTAAAATACATTATCAAAGCTTTTCTTGGAATTCTGCACAATACATGCAGACATTGTTCTAATTTTAAAGAATGTTTGAGAAGCTGTCCATTTCTGTCTGTGATGTTAAGATTATCAAAGACCAAGATTGCAATGATACGAGCTAAATGTTTGATTGTGATGTCATACATAGTCAATGATTCAGAAATTCATGTTGTCAGTACCGACTGTAAAGTACTTGTGTTTATCATTGAAATTCTGAAAAATGCAAAATGTTCTGATGATCACATGTCATACAAATATGGGATGAATGTTTCAGAAATACTTCATGGTTTGAATAATCTGTTGGCAAATGATGAAAACAAGGAGAAACTAATGTCATTAGAAGTTTTGAATCTCTATTTAGAAATCTTATCCGAGAAGTTTTCAGATGAAGAAGTATGTTTAACTGTAGTGGGTATTTGGAAATTGTCTTTCCATGACTCAAACAAAGAGAAAATGAAGACGAATTCTCAACTTTTAGAAGGTGAATATTTTCTTGTAAATTTAAAATGGAAGACACCTTATTAAATTTATTGCAAGATGAGTAATACTAAATGAAAAAGTAATCTCATTTCAGTAATTTACATTAAAATTTAATGTTTTTACATACAATTTACTTTTATTATTTCTTTGAAATAGTGAATAATACTATGAGGAAATGAACTGATTTACAACCCAATAAAAGAACTTTGTGTGGACAAGTTCATTCATGATTGATTCAGTTATTCAATTAAGATCATCTATTTTGTTGCAAGTGTGACCAATAATCAATGTTAAGACTAAACTCAGGCAAATCTATACTATAGTAATGAAACCAGAATAAAGATGATTTAAATGAGTAAAAGTCAAATTTATTTTAGGGTTGAAATTTTTTTGATACATGTAGTTCTTGATGCAATCAAATTGAGAAAACAAGTTAGAAGAGAATGAAGGTTATTATATGAATGTTTTCTGCTGTAAATGCAAAATCAAATACATGTAACTCTCGTGTTCTTCTTATTTGATTTTAACATGCATATTTCCACATATTTTTTTCACTTTTTTTTTATTTCTCCAGAATTCATTTTATAGTTTATTTTTTCACAGGTTATCTGTTAACACTAAGAGCAGAAATACATGAAACTCTCATCAGTCCCAAATATTTCCTTGTCTAAAGCAATTATAACTGTTTTCTCAGTTATATTTTTTATGTTACTTTATCTGCATTTTATACATCAGTACATGTAGACTGCATTGTATATTCATTCAAATAGCAAGAATGACAGAAGATTTTACTTTTTTGGTAAGATGGTATAAAATAATTAAAACCTACAAAGATTGAAATCATTGTAATTGTATGCACAAACACAGGGTTGATATGACGTAATTTGCATTTGAGTTATTTCCCTTGGTGACAATTTCTGAGAAATCAATGGTTGATTTTCTTAATATTTGACTATCCAAACTGAAACATGTGGTACAAACAAGTCTGATAAAAGATGCTTACTTGATCATAGTGATGAATCAAGCAAGGCTAAAAGAAATTAAATTTGTTCAGAAAACAACTTAAAGTCTAGGGGTAAGTACATTTTGTATAACAAGTTGAATTTGTCTGATTTATAAAATAATTTGTGCACCTAGACCTCCAACTTGGCAACAAAAGGGAAGTAATCTTGCTCAAATTATGTCAATCGAAACCTATCTATTCCTAAATGTTGAAGAAGTAACATAATGCGTCATATTTTCATATATATATCATGTATATTTTTAGAACTGGGCAGACTACAACTTTCCAACAAAGAGGATGTCAGACATGCTGCAAGAGGTGCATTGTGGGAAATTAACCAACATGTTGAAGGTCCTAATCTTAACATCAACTCTGGTAAATTGCTTACTTATAGCAAATCATTTGCTACCTGTACATGTTGTGTGGATTTATTCTTATCATTTATTTACAACTAAGAAACTTATCAGTTGTATGTTAATTAAACCCAACACAACAAAGCTGCATAGGGTATAATGTTTTTGACCCATCCATCTGTCCGTCTGTCTGTCAGTCCATCTGTCAGTCCTGTTGTAGCCATCTCCTTGGAAACCACACAACAGAATTTCATGAAACTTTGGAGATGATAAGGACATACTTTGTAGATCTGTATGTCAACAAGAAAATATGATTAAATTTTTTTTCTAGAAGTTATGCCCCTTTGAACTTAGAATTTTGACCTAAATATACTACTGCAACAGTTTGTCATCGCAACTCCTCTGCAAACACACAACAGAATTTCATGAAACTTTGTAATAATAAGGACATACTATGTAAATGTGCATATCGACAGGAAGATATTATTCAATTATTTTTTTTAGAAATTATGCCCCCTTTGAACTTAGAATTTTGAGCTAAATATACTACTGCAACAGTTTTTCTTTGCAACTCCTCTGAAACCACACAACAAAATTTCATGCAACATTAGAGATAAAAAGGACATACTATAAAGATTTGCATATCGACAGGAAGTTATGATTCAATATTTTTCTCTGGGAGTTATGCCACTTTGAACTTAAAATATTGGCTTAAATATACAACTGCAACAGTTTGTCATTGCAACTCCTCTGAATCCACACAACAGAATTTCATGAAACTTTGTAGTTAATGAGGACATACTATGTAGATGTGCATATCCACAATAAATTTTTATCAGTTACTTTTGTAGGAGTTATGAGTCTTTGAACTTAGGAATATGGTGAGATTTTGTGTGCCCAGTGACAATGTGGGGGCGTGGGGTATGTGAGCATGCTCTCAAAGGTTCTTTAATTTTATATCATATTAATGCCTGAAACAAACTGCAAGTAAATATAAGTAAAATTCAAATAAAACTGGTTGGTACCCTAAAAAAAAATATTTGTATGAGTTTTGATGATACTGAGTTGAAAAGCAATGGATCCATAGATGCCATTCTACTGGAAAAAAAATACGATTTGTTTCGGCATTATTAATACTCCAACCCATCAGAATGGACTTTCTGCTTGAGAAAAAAAATATATTTTAATCAAATAAGTCATGTATCTCTCATCTTATATATATATATATATATAATTAGCTCATCAGAGGTAGATTATGTTGATGATAAATATTTATATTGGTTCCAGAATATTATTTATCTCTTTTTTACTTTACATCTGTTTATGTTAAATAGTAACTTTAATGTTGTTTAATGTTTTTCAGTTTGGTTTGCTTTATTTTCTAATTTAGTGGTAAGTAACATTTTGCTTTGAAAGTAATTTCTGTATCAATATTTATATACTATTCGTTATTAGGATCTTCACAGGAGATACTGGTTCATTTTCCCTGTCAGTGTTTTATATTTCCCGAGCCATCATGCAAAGGAGATATAGGGCATGTACAGAAAATATTAGCCCATATCGCCAGTGAAGCCAGAATAATCATTTTATAATACTGGCGTATCCTAATTTCAACAAAAATTACCATTCTGATCTTTCTTTTTTATGCCCCTGCCATAGCGGAGGGGGCATTAAGTTTTACCCTTGTCCGTCTGTACGTACGTCCCAAAATTGGTTTCCGTTCTCTAACTTTAGTTTGCCTCAACCAAATGTTATGAAACTTATACACAATGCTTATTACCACAAAACATAGATCAAGTTTGAATTTTGGTGGTGTCACTTTTATCGTTCTGGAGTTATGCCCCTTTACAAATGGAAAAATTGCTGAATTTTTCGTTTCCGTTCTCTAACTTTAGTTTGCCTCAACCAAATGTTATGAAACTATACACAATGCTTATTACCACAAAACACAGGTCAAGTTTGAATTTTGGTGGCATCACTTTTACCATTCTAGAGTTATGTCCCTTTACAAATGGAAAAATTGCTGAATTTTTCGTTTCCGTTTTCTAATTTTAGTTTGCCTCAACCAAATGTTATGAAACTTATACACAATGCTTATTACCACAAAACACAGATCAAGATGGAATTTTGGTGGCGTCACTATTACTGTTCTAGAGTTATGCCCCTTTATAAATGGAAAAATTGCAAAATTTTTATTTTCTTCTAAATATCAAGTCATTTTTATACGACCACAAAAATTAAAAAAATTTTCGTCGTATATTGGTATGACGTTGGCGTCGTCGTCGTCGTCATCGTCTGGCGTCGTCCGAAGACACATTGGTTTTCGCACTCTAACTTTAGTTTAAGTGAAGGGATCTCCATGAAATTTTATCATATGGTGCAATACCACAAAAGGAAGGTTGGGATTGATTTTGGGGGTTATGGTACCAACAGTTAAGGAATTAGGGGCCAAAAATAAGCATTTTTGTAACTTCCAGACAATAACTTGTGTGTAAGTGTATGAATCTCTCTGACATTGTACCACAAGGTTCCATATCACAAAGGGAAGGCTGTAATTGATTTTGGGGGTAATTGCCTCAAAATTTTAGGAATTAGGGGCCAAAAAAGGGGCAAAAAACAAGCATTTTTCTAGTTTCATGACAATAACTTGTGTGTAAGTGTTTGGATATTTCTGAAATTGTACTACAAGGTTCCATATCACAAAGGGAAAGCTGGAATTGAGTTTGGGGGTAATTGCCCGAAACGTTTAGGAATTGGGGGCCAAAAAGGGGCCAAAAATAAGCATTTTTTCTAGTTTCCAGACAATAACTTGTGTTCAAGTGTATGGATCTCTCTGAAATTGTACTGCAAGGTACCATACCACAAAGGGAAGGCTGGGATTGAGTTTGGGGGTGATGAATCATAAGGGGTTCAAAAAATTGGGGGGGGGGGATTTTTTTTTTCTTTTTTTTTTCTTTTTTTCCTTTTTTTTTTTCTTTTAAAATTTTCCATTTTAAGTTGGTTATTTCTGATTTATATTTAAAAGCAAATAATAATGATATGGTAGGAGATACACACCAAACAGGATGTGTAAATTATTATGTAATAAGTATTGTGCAATAGCAAGAAATTTTCAATTGCACAGTATTGCACAATAGCAAGAAATCTTCAATTGCACAGTATTGCGCAATAGCAAGAAATCTTCAATTGCACAGTATTGCGCAATAGCCAGAAATATCCAATAGCACAATATTGCGCAATAGCAAGAAATTGTCAATTGTACAGTATTGCGCAATAGCAAGAAATATTCAATTGCACAGTATTGTGCAAAAGAAGATACTTCGTATAAATTGCTTATTTCTTGATCAATTTCAATGGGGTTTTATTCTTGAATTCTTGGGGTTCTTTAATATGCTGAATCTAACCGTGTATTAAGTTTTTGGATTTTGGGCCCCGTTTTTAAATTGGTCCACATTGAGGTCCAAAGGGTCCAAAATTTAACTTTGTTTGATTTCATCAAAAATTGAATTATTGGGGTTCTTTGATATGCCGAATCTAACCGTGTATTTAGATTCTTAATTTTTGGTTCCGTTTTCAAATTGGTCTACATTAAGGTCCAAAGGGTCCAAAATTAAACTTAGTTTGATTTTAACAAAAATTGAATTCTTAGGGTTTTTTGATATGCTGAATCTAAACATGTATTTAGATTTTTAATTATGGGCACAGTTTTCAAGTTGCTCCAAATTGGGGTCCAAAATTAAACTGTGTTTGATTTCAACAAAAATTGAATATATGGGGTTCTTTGATATGCTGAATCTAACCATGTATTTAGATTTTTAATTTTGGGCCCCGTTATCAACTTTGTCCACATTGAGGTCAAAAGGGTCCAAAATTAAACTGTTTGATTTCATCAAAAATTGAATTCTTGGGGTTCTTTGATATGCTGAATCTAACCATGTATTTAGATTTTTAGATATTGGACCATAATAGGTGAATGTCCAATTTAAAATTTTTAAGTTCTTAGGCCACATTCATTCTGTGTCAGAAACCTATGCTGTGTCAAATATTTAATCACAATCCAAATTCAGAGCTGTATCAAGCTTGAATGTTGTGTCCATACTTGCCCCAACTGTTCAGGGTTAGACCTCTGCGGTCGTATCAAGCTGCGCCCTGCGGAGCATTTTATTAAAATTGGAGTTATCTTCCTTTGTCCATAAATATAGTTTAATCAACTACTATCAATGCTTTATACAATGCAATGTTAAATTTTGACTTCCACTGATAAAACACAGATCAAGTTGAATTTGGGTAGTGTCACTTTAACCATTATTGAGTTATGCCCCTTTATAAATCAAAAGATTGCAAAATTTTTAGTTTCCATTCTGTAACTTAAGTTTGCCCCAACCAAACATTATGAAACCTATACACAATATTCATTACCACAAAACTAAGATCAAGTACAAATTTTTTGTTTCCGTTTTTTAACTTTAGTTTGCCTCAACCAAATGTTATGAAACTTATACACAATGCTTATTACTACATAATACAGAATAAGTACTAAATTTGGTGGAGACACTTTTACCATTCTTGAGTTATGTCCCTTTATAAACATAAAAATTGCTGAATTTTTTGTTTCCGTTCTCTAACAAAATGTTATAAAACTTATACACAACCGTTCTAGAGTTATGTGTGTTTACAAATAGAAAAATTGCTGAAATTTTAGTTTCTGTTCTCTACTTAAGTTAGCCTCAACAAAATGTTATGAGACTTACACACAATGCTTATTACCACAAAACTCAGATCAAGTTCAAATTTGGGTAGTGTCACTTTTACTGTTCTTCAGTTATAAAATTGAGAACGGAAATGGGGAATGTGTCAAAGAGACAACAACCCGACCATAGAGCAGACAACAGCCGAAGGCCACCAATGGGTCTTCAATGCAGCGAGAAACTCCCGCACCCGGAGGCGTCCTTCAGCTGACCCCTAAACAAATATGTATACTAGTTCAGTGATAATGGACGTCATACTAAACTCCAAAATATACACAAGAAACTAAAATTAAAAATGATACAAGACTAACAAAGGCCAGAGGCTCCTGACTTGGGACAGGCGCAAAAATGCGGCGGGGTTAAACATGTTTTTTGAGATCTCAACCCTCCCCCTATACCTCTAGCCAATGTAGAAAAAACAAACGTACAACAGTACGCACAGTAAAACTCAGTTTAAGAGAAGTCTGAGTCCGATGTCAGAATAGGAAACAAAAGAAAATAAACAAAATGACAATAATACATAAATAACAACAGACTACTAGCGGTTACTGACATGCCAGCTCCAAGTCCCTTTATAACTATATAATATGCAAGCGGGGGCATCATCTGTGTCCACATGTGGACACTATCCACATTTATTTTATTCAAAGGGTATATGGGCTCATGGTAGCCAATCAAATTGCATGATTAGCCAGATTATATCACTCCAGTATTATATATGAATATTATTAGTTACACATGAACAGTTTGCTAGTGACCTAATACCATATATATGGGGTCAGGAAATTCCATTTGGAGTGAGAGCGAATCTAGAACTCCATATGGAATTTACTGACCTCATATATATCATATTAGGTCACTAGCACACTGTGTAACAAATTTATCTTACCGACTATCTTAACATGTGGCATTTAGACCAGATGCCTATCAAAGTGATCAAGTCTTCAATATAAAGAACCTACTTCCATTGGTTTATACAAAAACAAATTGTTAGCTTTTAATGTGTTTTATGAATTTATTTCAATCGTTAATCATCAATTTTCTTCATCTGTTGTCCGAGTGAATCGTTTCAGATTTTACCTCAACGCCTTGTTGTTTTTATAAAGGGATGTAACACCACTTCTAACAGTGTATTAGAATAAATCACGCCTACTAACCCCATATAAAATGTACAGGGTCTCCATGCCGTCGCTTTTAACCAATCATATTCCTAGAAATGTATAGGAGGTGAGATAAATATATATATGTATATGATTAGTGTACGGTCAGACATATACACTGTTTGCATGTATTTAACCTATACCATTAAGAGTTATACACCCCTTTTATCTCTTATCATTAAAAATTTTTTTTCTCATTATAAGCTGAAATAAACCTAGCTGGAAGTTTTGTTTATGTTAAGTAGATCTGTTTGTTTCCATTAGCATCATGATAAATGGAAATTTCATAAGTAATATTATTTTGAGTGAAATATTTATCTTCAGGATACAAGCTACCTCATAATTATTCTCTTTCATTAAACCTTTCAAAAAGTCAAATGATAGACATTGCAAAGATATTCACAACATTTTAATTAAAACCTTTTATCATGTTTATTACTTTCACACTCATTTGATTCCTTTCTAACTTTTGTCTCAAGGAGAAGGGGCTTCTTTGGTCTTGAAAAATAAAAAAAAGAAGAATGATGCCACTACAAATCACATTTTTTTTATATTCTGGAACTTGCATATTATATTAAAATATGCAGTAATTGTAGAAAATAGTACACTGAATGTATCATTTTAGCTAAGCTAGAAGTAGATTGTCCACATATTATGATAAGTTATCAGTGGGACAGCCAATCAGTGATGTTAAAGGTCAAAGACAGACTGAAGGATGCTGGATACAAAGTTTGGATGGATGTAGAGCATATGAGTAAGAACAAATTATTACAGAAACATAACTGAGGAAGACTTTTCTTGTTAATAATATAATTGTATGATAACAATTTCTATGTGCTTTGACCAATGTTTTAGGGATAACTTTCATCAGGTACACTCAAGACCAAATATAAAAGAAGTCAACTGTAAATAAAATGATTAATGATTCAAACTTAAATTTGCCTAAACCAAAAGCAGCTATCATCTATTAAAGTTCAATTTTGTATAAGAGAGTTTAAGTGCAATTACATAGTTTGGAAGTTGAAAATTTACAGTAAGAGTATGCAATTAAACTCATTCAGATACTAAGGTTTTGGCCTCTTGGTTGATTGATTGGACCCTCTTATAAGAAATGAAAAATATATATATAAAATAACAAAAAATGTCTCTTTTACTTTCTCATTTTTGTTGTTGACATTTTTTTACCTGATTGAAAAAAAATTGTCATGCATTAGACAGAAGCATACAATATTCAGAAAAAAATATGAAGCAAATGAAAAAAAAAAATTATTTGGGGTGTTTTTCATATAAAACGTGTGTTTAGGCATTTAAGAGTTAATAAGATGCATATGCTGAACAACATGTCTAACATATCCTAATGTTGTGGCTTATACATTTGTTCATTATAGCTGGTTCCACATTGGAAGCTATGGCACTGGCAGTAGAAAAAGCAGCAGTGGTGTTAATCGCAATGTCTCAAAAGTATAAAGACAGTCCTTCATGTAGATCAGGTTAGTTTGTTATATAAAAATAAGGAGATGTGCTATGATTGCCAATGAGACAACAATCCACCAAAGTTCAATTGAATTGGATGTAGCATGTCTGACTAAAATCAATGTCTTATGAAGTTTGAACAGTGACAGAAAATTTGAAGAAATTTACATTGGTCAAAAATAAAGTAAAAGTGGATCTTTCCAGATTTATGTTCAAAGCATATATAATCATGATAATGATGAGAATTTAACAACAGTTACTGTGCAAGACAAGAATTTCGCATTCCAAATGCAAGATTTCAACACTGCCATGTGATCAAATGAAGAACAAGAAACATTTGAAATAATAGTAGATATTTGATTTGATATGCATTCCAAAATGAACAAGAACATCTTTGTCTAATAGACACTGATCTGCAGACAAATAGCTTTATAATAAACAGACTTTGACCCGTCTGTCAGTCCTTCATTCATTTTGAATGCAGGATGATAAATCAAATACCTTACTGTAAATTCAGAAATTATTGCGTGCATTTATTATTGCGATTTTTGAAGAAAGGACAAAAAATGTGAGATTTATTATTGCGATTTCAGGAAAATCTGCATACACTTATATGTATCAGATATCAGAATGTGAGTTTTTATTATTGCGATTATCACCCAGTCGCATTATTCGCAATAATAAAAACGTCGCAATAATTTCTGAATTTACAGTATATAGGATTGAAACCATACTTGTACATATGGTCACATTTAATGAGAAGGAAATCCCTAATGATTTTGAGGTCACAACATCTAAGTTTAAGGTCATACTGCCTAAAAATAGAACAAAATTAGTGCAGGAAAGGAGTTTCTGGATTGTAGCTCTAAAGGCTGACAAGGAATTGGATCAAAGTTAAACATATAACTACATACTAGGAAGGAAAGAGACTGAAATTAGTGCAGAAAAGGGGCTTCTAGATAATTACTCTAGAACCTTACATGGAATTAGAACCAAACTTGCATTTATGGTGATATAATTGATTCTTAGGACAATACATCAAGGTCAAAGATCAGCAAAAATTAGTGTAGAAAAGGGGTTTTCCAATGATAACTCAACGATTGTCAAAGGGGTTGGAACCAAATTTGAATTTTATGGTTACATATAAGGGTTGAGAGATCTGATCATCTTAGGGCACTAAGATTCTTTAATTTGTTCAGACTAAGCCTTGTCTATAAGTTTTTAGTTATAAGGTAAAATTTAAACAACCAAAAATATTTTATAAGTGCAATTTGTGTTGCAGAGGCTGAATATACATATAAACTAAGGAAGAGTTTTATCCCTCTACGACTTCAGCATCGTTATGTACCAGATGGCTGGCTGGGCATGCTCATTGGAACTAGATTGTACTTTGATATAAGCAGTGAAGATAAAATAAATCATCAGATGGACAATATTATGAAGGAACTTGGGAATCGTGGAAAGATTGGTACTCATACAGATGCTGTGGATGGTAAATAGATATGTTTTTTTAATTTTTTTTTTAATCATATTTTCATAAGGCAGCAAATTCATCATTGAATTTGGTATACAATTGTTTTAGCATCCATGCATCTGATATGCCTGTAGTTATTTAGGACACACAGTGCTTTGGTTGTCCTCCAGTGACCAAGGAATTTAAATATTAAATTTTTAAGAAGTTGTGTCCATGAAGATTTATATATGATATACTATTGGTATATGTATGCTGTTTCAGTAGCATCCAAGAACTCCAGTTTTGGGGAGACTATGGTGGAAACTTTACGTTATTTTTGGAATTCGTGAACATAACAAACTGTTTGATTTAAACGATATCCTCAGACTTGTTTTTCTACAGAGCAATTTTATTTGCTTATGATTAAATGCCTTCGAAATATTTCATTTTATTCTTGCAACAATTCTAATATGCACAATAAAGGTGTATTTTAGCTCTTAGCGCAGCTATTTATTAAAGTTAGCTTTTGTGAACAGGTGATTGTAATGAAGTACTACTCCATTTATACATGGTTTGATGTTAGCGAAAGCTTTAATGACTTAATAATTTTCATGTTCAAATTTAAAAAAAATAATTTATTATTAGATATATTTTTTAAATACATTGTACTCCTTATAAGGCTTATAGACTATAGCTATTTTGATTTTTATTATTTTAAAATCTGTATAAATGTTTCTATAAATTTCAAGGAATTGTGTGAACTAATGTTTTGTAATTCTCTACAGAATATGATGAAGTAAACATTAAGAATCTAACATTGAAAAAGAGTGAGATCAGGGATTATTATAACCTTAGGATGTCTTAGATTTCCAAATAATACATTCTTACCGGTACAATGAAATACATATTTATTTCTAGTAGAAATGTCCACTAAATCTTTGAACTTCAGTATTTCAAAATCATTTTTTATAAACCATCCATACTGGAGCCATTGAAAGAAAATGGAATACTTTCAAAATATGAAGAATTGGCTTTTTTTATACAGGGTACACAAATACAAAACAAGTAAACACAGCAGTAAATAGACTGAGATATGAAGATTGGTCCACTATAGATATATCATCCTGGTTATCAGACAACTCGGTTAAATTACCTGAGAACATGTGAGTAACAAGTTGTTACAAAATAGATTTACTGAAAATAATATGTTATATGAATTTTCAGGTCTTTTGTCATGTTTTATCAAATAAGAACAGAGGATTCACAACTCACAAGCAGGAGGAGACCTACCGTATGATAACAAAGCCCTTTGATTTAAGCTACATACTTGTAAAATATGCTAATTTTTTTACAAACATTGTTTCATAAATTATTAAAATATCTAAATGCCTCAAGTAACTACTTTGTATTGAAACTTACACATCCTTCATTTTCCTGATACCAATCTTTGATATTGGTGTACGTTATTAAAGTACATGTATATTATACCTCTAGGATCTCATATTTAAACTATTACAGCCTCATACTTAGTACTTTTTTGTGTACTGGCGAAAATTAATTTTGTTGTATAGAAAGAAGCTTTGTGGTTGAACAGTCCCCTTCCTGGTTGAATGTTGTAAACTTATTCCTGGTCTATTGCCCACTATGACAATTCTAGATTTGGTTTGAATAAGAAACATCATAGATTGTTGCTGATTTGTATGAATTTGAAGTTCACATATTATTCTGAAGATATCAAACAAGCATGTTTCATTTCCCTATTTTATCTTTTTTTAATTGAATAAAGTTTATGAATTTTTTATGCCCCCTAGAAGCGGAGGGGGCATTAAGTTTTACCTTGTCCGTTCGTACGTCCTAAAGTTGGTTTCCGTTCTCTAACTTTAGTTTGCCTCAACCAAATGTTGTGAAACTTATACACAATGCTTATTACCACAAACACAGACTGAGTTTGAATTTTGGTGGTGTCACTATAACAGTTCTAGAGTTATGCCCCTTTGCAAATGGAATAAATTGCTTCACCAAGGGCAGCTGGATACCACCGCAGAGGTCCAACCCTGAACAGTTGGGGCAAAAATGGACACAATATTCGCGCTTGATACATGTCTGAATTTGGATTGTAATTAAATATTTGACACATAATAGGTTTCTGACACAGAATAACTGTAGTCAATGAACTTAGAATTGGTTATATGATTTGAATTTATACTCAATTTTTTGCTATTGTGCAATACACTTTGCTGTTGCGAATTGACCCCCCCCCCTCCCCCCACATAAAAAAAAATTACCCTCATTTTTTTTTGCTTTTGTGCAATACACTATGCTGTTGTGTATTGACAACCCCCCCCCCCCCCCACTTTTTTTTTGCAAAAAAAAATATTTGAAGAATTTTTCTTTTTAATTTCTGAAATCTGAAATGAGAAAAAATTGACCCCCCACAATTTCTTTTTCACCTCCCCCTCCCCTTTTTTCCCCAAAAAAAATTCTCTCCCTCAAGATATGGTCATAATCTCAATTCAAATTTCTAATGGAGTTTGCAACCATGATTACCCATTTAAATACATCATAAAAGTCTTAAAATAGAAAATGACATACATAATCATGGCTAAAATTAATATTCCTTAAGGGCTATTCCATTAAAATGTATGTGGGAGGGTAGGAAGGGACTTTCCAAATATCCCTACAACCAAGTGCTATTTTTTAGATAATTTTGCATAATGGTAATAGATGCATACTGAAAAAAGACCCATGACCCACATTCAATAATTTAACTTCCCTTCCAACCCTCCCACATACATTTTAATGGAATAGCCCCAATAATAACTTCTAAAAATAAATTGACAGCTAATCATCTCATGACAATACAAGATTTCTTTATACATAATTTAAAAGCAGTGTAAGGGAGGTAATCAAAACATTGTGTTTGGATTACCTCCCTTACATTGCTTTTAAATTGTCTTCATTGTCCATTAACCAGGAAACCCTGTTTTTCCCCCTTTTTTGCCCCTAATTCCTATACGGTTTGAGCTATAACCCCCCAAAGCCAATCCTAACCATCCCTTTTTGGTATGGAAACTTGTGGTATAATTCCTAAACATTTAGGGCAATTACTCCCAAACTCAAACCCAGCTTTCCCTTTGTGATATGGAACCCTGTAGTACAATTTCATAAAGATTCATACACTTACACACAAGTTTTTGTCCTGAAACTAGAAAAATGCTTGTTTTTTTGGCCCCTAATTCCTAAAATTTTGAGGCAATTACCACCAAAATCAATCTCAGCCTTCCCTTTGTGGTATGGTACCTTGCAGGACAATTTCAGAGAGATCCATACACCGTTCCACAAGTTATTGTCTGGAAACTAGAAAAATGCTTATTTGGGCCCCTGTTTGGCCCATAATTCCTAAACTGTTAGGACCATAACCCCCAAAATCAATCCCAACCTTCCTTTTGTGGTTATAAACCCAGTGTTTAAATTGCATAGATTTCTATTTAATAATACTAAAGTTATTGTCCGGAAACCAACTGTCTTTGGACGACGATGACGACGTGATACCAATATATGACCCCAAATTTTTTTGCGTTCGTATAAAAATTGCTGAATTTTTCGTTTCCGTTTTGAAACTTGAGTTTGCCTCAACCAAAGGTTATGAAACGTATACACAATGCTTATTACCACATAATACAGATCAAGTCTGAAATTGGGTGGCATCACTTGTACCGTTCTTGAGTTATGCCCTTTATAAACATAAAAACTGCTGAATTTTTCGTTTCCGTTCTCTTACTTTAGTTTGCCTCAACCAAATGTTATGAAACTTATACACAATGCTTATTACCACAAAACACAGATCAAATTTGAATTTTGGTGGTGTCACTGTAACCGTTCTATAGTTATGCCCCTTTACAAATGTAAAAATTGCTAAATTTTTCGTTTCCCTTTTCTAACTTTAGTTTTCCTCAACCAAATGTTATGAAACGTTTACACAATGCTTATTACCACATAATACAGATCAAGTTAGAAATTGGGTGGCGTCACTTCTACTGTTCTCGAGTTATGTCCCTTCATAAACATAAAAACTGCTGAATTTTTCGTTTCGGTTCTCTAACTTTAGTTTGCCTCAACCAAATGTTATGAAACTTATACACAATGCTTATTACCACATAATACAGATCAAGTATGAAATTGGGGGGGTGTCACTTTTACTGTTCTAGTTTTAGGTCTGTTTACAAATGGAAAAATTGCTGAATTTTTCGTTTCTGTTCTCTAACTTAAGTTAGCTTCAACCAAATATTATGAAACATTTACACAATGCTTATTACCACATAATACAGATCAAGATCGAAATTGGGTGGCGTCACTTTTACTGTTCTCGAGTTATGTCCCTTCATAAACGTAAAAACTGCTGAATTTTTCGTTTCCGTTCTCTAACTTTAGTTTGCCTCAACCAAATGTTATGAAACTTATACACAATACTTATTACCACAAAACTCAGATCAAGTACAAATTTAGGTAGCGTCACTTTTACTGTTCTTCAGATATGTCCCTTTATAACTTTATATGATATGCAAGCGGGGGCATCATCTGTGTCCCATGGACACATTCCCCATTTATTTCTTTTTATACGCCCATTTACGGGACGTATTATGGTATACCGTTGTCCATCTGTTCGTCCGTCCGTCGGCAACATGTCAGACAATAACTCAAAAATGCTTTAATTTGCATTAAACTTTGGTGAATAGTTAATATCTATTGACGTGAACTCCCTTTCGATTTTTATAAATTTTGGATTATACGTTTCCGAGTTGTGGTGTTTTATTCATTAAAAAAGGGGGATTTTCCAGTTTTCGGACAATAACTCAAAAATGCTTTGAACAGTTGTCATGAAACTTTGGTGAATTGTTTATATCTATTGATGTGAGCTGCCTTTCCATTTTTATAAATTTTAGATTTTACGTTTCTGAGTTATGGGGTTTTATTTATTAAAAAAAGGGGGATTTTCCAGTTTTCAGACAATAATTCAAAAATGCTTTGAACAGTTTTCATGAAGCTTTGGTGAATTGTTTATGTCTATTGATGTGAGCTCACTTTCAAATTTAATAAATTTTAGACTTTACGTTTCTGAGTTATGGGGTTTTATTCATTAAAAAAGGGGGATTTTCCAGTTTTCGGACAATTACTCAAAAATGCCTTGAGCAGTTTCATGAAACTTTGGTGACTGGTTTATATCTATTGAAAAAGCGACTGACATATCATGTGCTCATGGCGCAGCTGTTTATTATGTCTGCAATACATATTAATGAAGAAAGTTTCAATGTTTACACAAAAAGTATGGATATTGCTTGAATTTTTCCATGTGATCTTCACCTAATTGTCATGCTCCAGTAGTAAGGAAAGGTCTACATGACTACCTGTTGGTCTGTTCCTCTGTGTAACTGGTACATGATGTGTCAATAATATTAAATATATTGACAGGTTGTGTGTAGTACTGTAAATTCAGAAATTATTACAAGGTTTTTATTATTCGAATATTGCGACTTGGTGATTATTGCAATAATAACTCACATTCTTATATCTGATGCATATACCTGTCTGCTGATTTCTTGAAATCGCAATAATTAATTTTGCATTTTTCTCCATTCTTCAAAAATTGCAAAAATAAATTACATAATATTTTCTGAATTTACAGCATATGTAGTATATTTGTCAGACATATATGTTATATTTATAAATTGACAAATCAAGGATGGTGAACATGTTCAAGCATTTATGTAATACCTATATAATCATTTTACAGACAAAAGGAGCTGGATGGGCCATTACTGAAAGAACTTATGACTATGCAGGACAGGGCACCAGAACATTTCTACAGACTTTTACAAACTGATTTTGGTTTGGAAGTAATTGATATGCTGAGATTCTCAAAGTTATTAAGACAATTGAATACTTTATAATGTGTTGGTAAATCATTGAGCTATATAGTCATTCTTACTGTATGTTAGATTACGTGAAGGGAACCTGTATATTAGGCAAAAAAAAATATATGTCTGTTTACGGTTACCAGACTGACCCTACTTTTGAGCGCCCGACCCTAAATCATTTTATTCCCATTGTCAAGTGAAAAATTAACTGAACTTGTATCAAAAGGGAAGTTAAAGTTGCCAATAATATAAATCCATTGCCTGATACATCTAAATGTTCACAATTGTGAATATGACAGCTGTTTTAAGAAACTCCCGACTCGTGTGATGAAATAATCACTTTGCCGCCATTTTTTCCAACCAATAACCAAGGGAAATAATCCAATCATTAAAAATACGGGTAAACTCGGACCACAGCAAGATGGACCGCATGACTCAAAATCATGTCGCAAAAAATAAAATGGAAATACAGACCAACCTACCCTGTTTTTTTTATACCACCGCAAAAAAATTTTGCGGTCGTATATTGGTATGACGTTGACGTCGTCCGAAGACATATTGGTTTTCGCACTTTAACTTTAGTTTAAGTGAATGGATCTCTATGAAATATTACCATAAGGTTCAATACCACAAAAGGAAGGTGAGGATTGATTATGGGGGTTATGGTACCAACAGTTAAGGAATTAGGGGCCAAAAATAAGCATTTTTGTCACTTCTAGACATAACTTGTGTGTTAGTGTATGGATCTCTCTAACATTGTACCACAAGGTTCCATATCACAAAGGGAAAGCTGGAATTGAGTTTGGGGGTAATTGCCTCCAAATTTTAGGAATTAGGGGCCAAAAAGGGGCAAAAAACAAGCAGTTTTCTAGTTTCATGACAATAACTTGTGTGTAAGGGTATGGATCTTTATGAAATTGTACTACAATGTTCCATATCACAAAGGGAAAGCTGTAATTGAGTTTGGGGGTAATTGCCCAAAACGTTTAGGAATAAGGGGCCAAAAAGGGGCCAAAAATAAGCATTTTTCTAGTTTCCAGACAATAACTTGTGTTCAAGTGTATGGATCTCTCTGAAATTGTACTGCAAGGTACCATACCACAAAGGGAAGGCTGGGATTGATGTTGGGGGTAATTCCCTCAAAATTTTAGGAATTAGGGGCCATAAAGGGGCAAAAAAACAAGCATTTTTCTAGTTTCATGACAATAACTTGTGTGTAAGTGTATGGATCTTTATGAAATTGTACTACAAGGTTTCATATCACAAAGGGAAAGCTGGGTTTGAGTTTGGGGGTAATTGCCCTAAACTTTTAGGAATTTGGGGCCAAAAAGGGGCCAAAAAACAAGCATTTTTCTAGTTTCCAGACAATAACTTATGTTAAAGTGTATGGATCTCTCTGAAATTGTACTGCAAGGTACCATACCACAAAGGGAAGGCTGGGATTGAGTTTGGGGGTGATGAATCATAAGGGGGATTTTTTTTTCATTTTTTTTCTTTAAAATTTTCCATTTTAAATTGGTTATTTCTGATTTATATATAAAAGCAAATAATAATGATATGGTTTGAATAGGTAAATTAAAAAAAATTTAAGTTCTTAGACCACATTCATTCTGTGTCAGAAACCTATGCTGTGTCAAATATTTAATTACAATCCAAATTCAGTGCTGTATCAAGCTTGAATGTTGTGTCCATACTTGCCCCAACTGTTCAGGGTTTCGACCTCTGCGGTCGTATCAAGCTGCGCACCAGCGGAGCATTTTATTAAAAATGTAACCTTAAACAGGTACTTTTTGGCCTTAGTTCTTAAACTGATACTGTGGATTCATTATTATTCGTTGGGTACCAGTTTTCATGGATTTTGTGGGTAAAGGTAAACGACAAATTTAAACGTTGAAATGAAGTATATATATTCTGTAGGCTTGTATACAGAGTTAAGCAAAACCACAAAATCTAATATCCACAGAAATGCAATTGTTCCTCAATCCACGAAAATTTGTACCCAAGAAAATAAATGAATCCTCCGTAAGTCAAATTTGATATGAGAAACGTAAAGACCTGCTTCAACAAAAGATGCAGTACAAATTATTACATTTGTAATTAAAACATGTGTTACTTTTATAAATTGTAACTTGGATGGAGAGTTGTCTCATTGGCACTCATACCACATCTTCCTATATCTATGTTACATGTTAAGTACTGACTTGCAGTCATTTGTTGAGATCTTCTTTATGGGAAACATTTTAGTAACATAACATTTCTGGTATTTATGTGTCTTGTGATCGTTTTCCCCCACATCTCCCTTTTATTTTTATATTCATCTGCCTTGACATTTATTCAGTGAATTTGAACTTTGACTTTTATATGTTAATTTCGATTTCAATTTTAAGCAATCTACTTAATTACATGTATACTGTGATATTAATTGTTTTTGAATACACATGTATTTAATATCAATGTTTACTGTAATAGCCTTTCAACTGTGATAATTTTTTACTGGTTTTGTCATAAAGCATTTATCAGAGAATGTATTTAATGTAAGCCATAGTGTAATTGTTTAAACTAATACTGTAACAGTCGGAAAACAAAATTCCTGTTTTTTTCTTATTTCCATGATATGTACAAAGGCAAAACAGAAAAAGTCTCAAAAGCATTTTTACTCTCGTGCTGCAAGTTATGAAATTAATTGGATGTTATAATTGCACTAGTTCTCAATGTGATTGGATGAATATTTAAAACTTTCACTTTATTAATTTTTCCGGTATATAGTCTTCAACAGGAATTGAATTATAAATGAGATAAATTCCCACATTTTATCCTTAATTTCTATTTAAGCAATGGAGTAGGAGCAATGAGGCCTTTATTTAGCCCAAAATTATAGTGCAAAAGATCTTCAATTTGCCATAACATGACTAAGGTAAAAGATGTTCAGAAAATAAAAAAAAAATTTCAAATTGGACAAGTTACCATGGGAACAAACCATGGAGAAAAATATTTTTATATTATAGATTATGATAAGAGCCATTATCTCCTTTAATTTTTTGTTAAGACTGAAAAAAGCTCAAAGCAAGCTTCTCTAAAATCATATTGTTGTTTCTTGGCTGTGTACAATGTTTCCACAAAGTAGTTATTAAAAACATCATTTCCTTAATGATACATTAAATCCTATTTTTGGCACAAGAAAAAGACATGTGTGTACACCTTTACTGAAGTGACCATAGAAATAAAACAGTTTTAACAAAAGACTCTTGAAATGACTGTATTTACAGTATTAGTTTAAAATCACTTGTTTTGCTCTGTGAGAAGATATAAATTCTCTGTCCCCTGTCTCAGATCTTGTTTTTAAAAACTTTTTTTAATGTATTATTCAATGAATCGTAATTTTTTTACATTAAATTCTGTATTGTATCAAATCTATGTTTTATTGAAATCAATTATCTCCATTTTGTAAATAGAATTCCAAGCATCACAGTCTGACAGCACAATTGGTTGAAAGCATGTCCACTTATTCTATGATGTTTTCTTTTCTGTTCGTCTACTGATCTGTCCATCTTAGTCTTTGTTCCACTGACACATTTCATCACTTCTTCCATTTGATGATTGATCATTGTTTTTTATACAACCATACTGTATCTATACCTTCTCCTATTGTTTCAATTGGTTCCCAGTTTGGAAGTGGAAATCTACATGCCACTATTCTTACATCATTGTTAGTTTCGTCCTCAAACTTTGTTTCTAGTCTGTCCATCTGTAATTAAGAAAACAAAATTATTGTCTGAAATTTACTGTAATAAACAACGATCATGATTTTCTGTATTATATTAAAACAGTACATGAAGCATGAAAATCCATTTCTGTGAATTAAAGAACTAGGTTTTGGCTGTTTTACCCATCTTGATCAACATAAAGGATATATAGTTTTACATCCCAGCTCCTTTGTTCTACCAGGGGTGATCTGAGCCAGATCATCCCTATCAGATCACCCCAGCTTGAGTTTCTTTGTTTTGCATGCTTTCCTTTGTTTTGTAACATTTTGGCGGGAATGCCTAATCCACAATAAAACTTAGAATTATTTATTGAGAAAAGACACACTTTCAAACTTAGAAAAAATCCATTGTCTATGCTGGGATTCGAACTCAAGACCTTTAGCATATCAACCCACGACACATACCCCTAGATCATGACGACTGGATATCAACTCTCAGTAATTTAACATATTTAAAGGAAGCAAGATATTTTCATTAGTGGGGCGAGTTGGCAGACCTTTATTCAGTGGGATTTTAACCCTTTTCATAAATAAGGCGAGTTGTCAGACTGATTCTTCAATGGGATTTTACCCTTATTCATAAGTGGGGTGAGTTGTTAAACAAGAGTGGGGCAATTTTTTAGAAAGTGGCGATTTAGTGTGGGCCGATTGGCCAGTGGGGCGAGTTGACATGGTTTCATATTTAAACATCGTGTTCGGGGGACATAAAGGGTATATATTATATAGTAATATATAAAGTATATTATAATAGTTGTGTGGCGTTCTAAACTAGATTTTATGAATTGTAAATGGTTTTTCGTCTAATCTAAAACAGCTGGGATGTAAAATAGTTATCCCATTCAGACTTGGTGTGTCAATGTAAGATCACCCTCTGGCCTTCTGCCATCAGGGTGATCTTACACTGACACACCGCGTCCTCATGGGATAACTATTACTGTGCAGCTAACTCATGTGAGACAGTTTTAATAAGATGATGGCAAACTTCTTATTTTAAATGGTACATGTAAAACACTTCATTTCTTGTAATGACAATTCAACAGGGCAGAATACCCATGATACAGAATAATTGAAAAAGAAGATATATTGGTCATTTACAACAAAAATAAATTCACATGTATAAGGCTTTAATAGATGCAGAGGTCCTCATGACCTTTTTGTAATTTGTCAGCACTTCAGTAATCAGGGAGACCCTTCAAGTAACTATCAAGATGAGGAACAATCATAAAAGGAAGTTCACACATTTTAAAACTCCTCATGACCTTCTAGCACCATGGTGCTATCTGAATAGATTTTATAAAAGAATGCATTATGCATGTTGTGCTAATAATTTTATGGAAACAGTGCTTGGGCCTATCTTAAAATGCTGGTGAGAAGATTGCTTACTAGTCTTACTTATTTTACATCTAATGTCCAAGTGTTCAATCTACAAAACCATACGATTACTCACCATAGATTCTACGCCAAATATGGAAATATTAGAATAACTTCCAACGTCTGTCTAAAATATAAATTATATTAGTCTCAGGATCAGGAAAAATATGAAAATAAAACCTCTGGAATATGTTTTGCCCTAGAAATTGCAAAAATGAAACTCAGCAAATATCGAACACTTTATAGTATGCAGATACAATCTTTAATTTGGTTGGTTTCCATGTTTCAATGAATTTATCATAGAGGGTATCTTTAATAACCTTTTGTTCAAACTAAAGACATTTTGTGTGAAATTTACAAACAAAATGAATGAATGTTGGTTGGAAATTTAAATAATAGAGTAATTTACTTTGTTTATGAAGAAACTGCTTTACAAAAAAGAATACTTCAATCATCTCATTGTGACCTTTCCATATTTATATAGCAACATTAAAACGGCACCTGGCCTGTATATGGATTACCTGTATATGTCTTCCAGTTGATGCTATGTTCAAGAACTTGTTTTTCCTGTCAGGATTTCCTTACTAAAGGATTACTAAGGAACAAGGAAGACAATGAACCAAATGTTCTTAATAATACAGTTGAAGTCTTCTTTTTTAAAAGTTAAATAATAAACCAACACCATCATGATTTGATTGACCTTCACACATGATTATGAATATATATCCATTTGTCATAGCCACAATCCAATCTTCCTTTTTCTGGTTTTCAACTATTGCTAAATGCATCTTATCACAAGATTTCAACCAGGTGCCACTCTTAAGTGAAGCGAAAACTGCTTACTCTTTGGAAATACCCAGGGCGGATCCAGCCATTTATAAAAGGGGGGGGTTCCTAACCCAGGATACAGGGAGGGTTCCAACTATATGTCCCCATTCAAATTCATTGATCGTCAAAAAAAAGGGGGGTTCCAACCCCCGGAACCCCCTCCCCCCTGAAAACCTGAGTTCACCTCCAGTTTTTGGTATTAATGTTTCTCAATCTTTGTTTTTATTTGTAGTGTTTTGTGAACTAATATTTTGCCCTTTCAACCTCTCTTGATTGTCTCATATTATCTTCTTACTTTTTTTGTGTTCAAGATTCACAGGGTTTTCTCAAAATTCAACAGTTCTAATAACCTTCTGACTAATCCATCTATAATTTGTAAAGCAAAGAATTGTGGCTGTCCAGAAATATGAGTCCTCAATTTTCTTCAACCTTAGCCTTTTAACCTTTTTTTATTCGAGTGTCACTGATGAGTCTTTTGTAAACAAAACCAGCATCTGGTGGTAAAAATTATAAGCCTGATAACTTTGATTATTTTTTTTATTAATTTTTAGGAATTTCTGCTGGTTATTTTCAGCAAAAATTGGACCATTTTGTTATTTGGTTCTTAAAAATCTTTTCCCCTGATTTATTCATATTTATTCTTGTCTTTTAAGTGAAATCGAGGATTGACATTCCAGCTAAATCAGGAAAACAATTTTAGCACTTCTAAAGCTTCTCCATCCATGAATAAAGAAACAATAAAGAAACATAAACATCATCTGAGCATTATAATTAAAATATACTTTGTACAAATTCATAAGGGAAATAATTGTTTAAATATGGCAAGTACTTTTTCCTCTAAAAAATGGTTTGAACTAGTCCCAGGTTTGAAGAGACAGTGAAAACCTTTGTGATAAATATATGGACAATTTCTCCTAATTTTCTCCTCATTACTACTACTAAAGGAAAGAAAATTTACAAGCAAACACAATAATACTTTAAATATACATATATTTTACTAATGGGAAATAGTGCCTTTTACCAGGGCTTATTTTCCTAAGTATAATAGTCCTAGCTTTATCATCTTGTTTGATTTTAAGTTATCTTAATGAGCTTTGTAAAGAATACATACTTTCCACAGATCTTTGGTTTGAAAAGTTGTAAACTTATGCACTTTATGTCTCCTTGCATTCCATCTTGAATATAAAACAAGCCACGGATTAAGTTCCACACCAGTGCCTCTAAAGCCAACTTTAGCTGCCTCTATCACCTAAAATGTTCCATTTCACATTTGAAAAAAAATAATACCTAAAGAGTTTACCAATTAGTTATGAATAAAAACAGATGTGGGATATATATCAAAATGAATATGCTACCTTAAAATGAAATATAGTTAAAGAACCTTTGTTAGCGAGCTCACATACCCCTCACCCCCACATTGTCACTGGGAAAACAAAAGCTAAACAGTTTTTTTTAAGTTCAAATATTGATGGATTGTTGGTTGCTTAACGTACTCTTACAAAAGTCAACTGTAAAATTTTATTTTTGTGGATATGCACATCTACTTTGTATTCCTAACTACAATGAACTATCTCATAAAATTCTGTTGTGTGGTTTCAGAGTTGTTGCGATGACAAACTGTTGCATAAGTAAGTATATTTAGGCCAAAATTCTAAGTTCAAAGGAGCATAAATCCTAGAAAAAAATTGAATCATAATTTCCTGTCAATATGCACATCTACATAGTATGTCCTTATTATCTACAAAGTATGTCCTTATTATTTACAGTTTCATGAAATACTGTTGTGTGGTTTCAGACTGACTGGCAGACTGGCGGACAGTCACAGACAGACAGGTCAAAAAAATTATACCCTACACAACTTTGTTGCTTAGGGTATATATTCCAGAAAATACGTCAAAAGTCAACATACACTCGTCAACAATGAACAAGTATCATATTACATGTCAAGCTCTAAATAATCTTTAGTTTAGGCAAGTTGTGGGTAAATTGAAGGAAAGACCACAGATCTGATATATACAAATTGAAATAAAACATTTATTTATACACTTTTTGGCCAACAATCTAAGATTTTTCCTGTCTCAAGTAAGGCAAACTAGCATATATGTTTTTCTTTATCGTCGATTGTTGTCTTTCCCATTTTGTTTTCTTTTATTTTGGAAATTGTCCTGAAAATGCATCTAAAACTATACCGGTACATGTTATTCAGGGCAACCATTTGGCAAACAACCATCAATCTTTCTTCGACAAGTTGGTTGTTGCAAATTTCCTTTATTTCCTTGTACCATGTAACACCCTTGTGTGTACAATTTATAAATTATGAAATTTTACTAAAACAGGTTGCAACAACCTCAGGCAAATTATACTTTAAGACAGTTTTGTCTTACTTTGACGTAGTTGCAGAGGTTAGACTCTATTCCTTTGCGTTTTGTGTGTTTTTGCTGAGCACGTACTGATTTTGTGTCATGGATGGATACCCCATATCCTTTGTTTTTCTATTAGTTGTACTGTTACCAGTGACGGCAGGAACGGCATTAACAAGTTGAAGTTTGTGATTAGGTCATTATGGAGGACCACTAATGGAAGGTCAAATATTTGGAAGGAAGTTGTATTGATATAACATGTAGGATTGGCATAATTAATTTGCATGAAGATTATTCTTCGACCACTCAGTCATGGTTAACTGACTTTGAAACTTTTCCATACTTTACATGTTTTTTTAAATTTCAACATTTGCTTTATACTATTGAAATTACACATAGGCCAGACATATCTGTGTCACCTGTAGCCGTTTCTTTCAAGGCCCTTTTGGACTGAATGTTACATGTATCAAATGTTTGATATTTTTGGCTTTCCAAACTTAGTTTTGAGTGCACTGCTTGCATGATTGTTCCAGATAAAGGTTCTTCCAGAAACATTCATGTTCATACTTAAACTATATATGCTCTATGGCTATTAGAACTTACAATTCGTCCATCACCACTTCCAATATCCAACAATGTCCCTTTCCTTCCTTTGAGTGCGGATAAAACATTTCGTACTTGTGATTCACTGGCAGGAACAAAAGGTAAACAAACTTTCCTAAATGCTGGAACGATAAATGGTAACGCTGCCACATAAACTCCGGCTACAAGACCTCCTATTACACCAACAATCACTTTCCCTGTAGAAGATAACTTTGCTGGGGGTTTACCTAGGGCTAAATCTGCTTCTGTAAGCCCCATTTCTTTGCAGTAGATACATTTTTCGTCTAGTTTGTCTGTAGTCATTTTGAATGTTTATAGGTTATCATCTGAAGAACAAGAATATTAGAGTACTGGACTTGTTGAGTTAATTTAAAGACAATTTTAAAAGTAGCAAAATTAAACTAGAGAGCACACGCTGAAAATTGTGAAATGTATCGCCTGTTTTACTTTTCATTGAATTTATGTTGAAAGTCTAATGTGAATGTTTTACTATAAGTATCACATAAACTTACAGCTCTTTTTATAATGCTAGTAAGACAAAGGTTTGTTTGGCTTGCTTGCTTTGTTTGTATCAATGTTTGCTCAAGCATTGTAATTAAGATTGACATATGCAAACAATAAAAGTAGGTGGAGTTAAATCTGTGTAAAGGTAAATTTGATCCAATTGATGTCCAATCAAATTTAAATATAATGTATACAAGTTTAAATCCTCCTTTTTATGTTGTTTTCAGATGTCAATCTTAATTACAATGCTTGAGCAAACATTGATATAAACAAAGCAAGCAAGCCAAACAAACCTTTGCCTTGCTAGCATTACGAAAAGAGCTGTAACATTATCAATGTTCTATGAAAATTAAGTCACAGTCAGATGCAACATGCCAGACAGACATGTACACCTTTCAATTATTCCGTACATCAAAAATATAGTGGTCCTATAGCTTATAGTACTATAGTAACAGATCAAACCACAAATCTTAACTTTGACAAATCATTAAAAAGAGGTCAAGGTCATATGAACACCTTTTTATTACTCTATATACCAAATATGTTGACCCATTGCTTATAGTATCTGATAAACTGACAAAATTAGGAAAAGTTATCATTGACTAATGAACCATGAAAATGAGGTCACAGTCATATGAACCCCTCCAGACAGACATGTACACCTTACAATCTTCCCATACACCAAATATAGTGGCCCTGATGCTTATAGTATCATAAGAATGGACCAAACCACATATAAACTAAAAATTGTCCATTGAATCATGAAATTGAGGTCAAGTCCAGATGAAACACTTGTGGTTCCCCAGACCCTGATCTAATCACAAACCAATACATGTAATCTAAGCAAAAGTTTCAAAGTCAAAAACCATGACTAGGGGGACGGGGCCAAATAATCTCAATGGATATGATATGTGCCAATATGCTAATACAACTGCATACCAAATATCATTGACCTACCACAAAGACCATAAATGTGAATGCTTCTATTGGTATCAAGTTGATTATAAGAAATGACCCCACAATATTTTAATGCCCCGCCTACGACAGTAGTAGGGGCATTATGTTTTCTGGTCTGTGTGTCTGATTGTTCGTTCGTTCGTCCGTCTGTCCCGTGTCCTGTTAAAGTTTTCGGTCAAGGTAGTTTTTGATGAAGATGAAGTCCAATCAACTTGAAACTAATTACACATGGTCCCTATGATATGATATTTCTAATTTTAATGCAAAATTAGAGTTTTGACCCCAATTTCAAGGTCCACTGAACATAGAAAATGATTGTGTGAGTGGGGCATCCATGTACTATGGACACATTCTTGTTTTTGAATGTAGTTTAATGTTCTGTGCTGCAAGGTTTTCAAACCCCTGGATTAACAAATCTAAAAATATTTTACAAAATTTAGTACATGTATATTCATATCTTGTGGATAATTGTGGTTTAACAAAACAGCACTTAAGTCAAATAAAACAAAGAATTTATGAATTCCGTGCTTGCAAAATCAAAATTCAAACATACAGGAATCTGCTAAACTTTGTTCCTTTCGTTAAGTCTACACAATAAGTCAAAGACCATCATTTGTTGGTTGATTGAACAATTTAAATAATGGAGCAGCAATATACAAAATACGCATAAGTGCACATTCTTTAATGTTTGAAAGGGGAAGACATTTTATTATTCCAAGAAAAGAAAGGTACTGTCCTTATCTGTAATAATGGTTAATTGAAGACAAATGACATTTCTTATTACAATGTACTAGAACTTGCTTAAAACGAGAAATACTAAATAATAATGTTAATGTGATTTTTAAAATACAGTGTAACATTAACACTGCTGAAAAAATATCTCCAATGGTAAACAATAGCTCAGCATTATTACTAAAACCAGAGACTGATTTAGGGGGAGCCTAGGGTGCCTGTCCGCCTCCTCTTATGGAGGTAAATATATGGTTAATGCATAGATGTTTTACGTGTTCACTCCAACTGTTGCCTATAGCTAGTTTGGGGGCCCCGGCCCCCCTCCTTTTTCAAAATCATGTTCCCGCATCTGAAAACTGTCTTTCTCTTTCATATACATGATATAAGAGTGTCTAAATATAAGGAAAAGTTTAATAATATGATATACATGTATAAGTATGTAACTTTTCATTCTATCATGTCTGTTAATATTATTATATAGGTCTTAACTAGTATTTATTGTTAATTTGTTTGTACCAATAAAATATTTGTATTTGTATTAAAGTACCTGTCTTTGAAAGAATCATACTGGTTTCGTTGATTCACGATTCATAGCCCCTCTTTAAATGTCTTTATATTTTGTTTTTTGAAGAAGGTATGGTATGATATTAAGTTTCATTCATTTTTTTTCTTTTGACCCTTTGTTGCCATATGGAAACCATCCAATGAAAATTGAAAATAAGGGAAATTTCCAGTACCATTGAAATAAAGTTAATTAATCAATAAAAACAATAATCATTTTTACAATGATGATAAACAAAACACCACACTATTCATGCTATTCAAATATGTTAAAATTTTATATTTACATTATAGTTTGTTTCCATAGCAACCATTTAAAAATACATTTAAATTCAAAAATTGCCAAATTTTATTTCTGTTTATCTCCCAAGATTCTGATTGACAATGCTTTAACCCCTTCGCCCTAAATCCCGCCTGTAGTCGTGATGGCGACCACCATTTTTTGATGGCCTGTATGACCCTCAATACTTTTTTAGAACTGCCCCAGATTAACTGCCTTTACAGCAGGGACTTCAACCATGCAATTCATGGTCCATAAACTCTTTTCAGATGTGCGATTATCAAAATATGGCAACTTTAATGGCCTTTTTAGCTCACCTGACCTGAAAGGTCAAGTGAGCTTTTCTCATCACTTTGCGTCCGTCGTCCTGCGTCCGTCGTCCGTAAACTTTTACAAAAATCTTCTCCTCTGAAACTACTGGGCCAAATTTAACCAAACTTGGCCACAATCATCATTGGGGTATCTAGTTTTAAAAATGTGTGGCGTGACCCTGTCAACCAACCAAGATGGCCGCCACGGCTAAAAATAGAACATAGGGGTAAAATGCAGTTTTTAGCTTATAACTCAAAAACCAAAGCATTAAGAGCAAATCTGACATGGGGTAAAATTGTTCATCAGGTCAAGATCTACCTGCCCTGAAATTTTCAGATGAATCGGACAACCCGTTATTGGGTTGCTGCCCCTGAATTGGTAATTTTAAGGAAATTTTGCTGTTTTTGGTTATTATCTTGAATATTATTATAGATAGAGATAAACTGTAAACAGCAATAATGTTCAGCAAAGTAAGATTTACAAATAAGTCAATTTAACCGAAATGGTCAGTTGACCCCTTTAGGAGAAATTGCCCTTTATAGTCAATTTTTAACCATTTTTCGTAAATCTTAGTAATCTTTTACAAAAATCTTCTCCTCTGAAACAACTGGGCCAAATTAAACCAAACTTGGCCACAATCATCATTGGGGTATCTAGTTTAAAAAATGTGTGGCGTGACCCGGCCAACCAACCAAGATGGCCGCCACAGCTAAAAATAAAACATAGGGGTAAAATGCAGTTTTTGGCTTATAACTCAAAAACCAAAGCATTTAGAGCAAATCTGACATGAAGTAAAATTGTTTATCAGGTCAAGATCTATCTGACATGAAATTTTCAGATGAATCAAACAACCTGTTGTTGGGTTGCTGCCCCTGAATTGGTAATTTTAAGGAAATTTTGCTGTTTTTTGTTATTATCTTGAATATTATTATAGATAGAGATAAACTGTAAACAGCAATAATGTTCAGCAAAGTAAGATTAACAAATAAGTCAACATGACTGAAATGGTCAGTTGACCCCTTTAGGAGTTATTGCCCTTTATAGTCAATTTTTAACAATTTTTCGTAAATCTTAGTAATCTTTTACAAAAATCTTCTCCTCTGAAACTACGTGGCCAAATTAAACCAAACTTGGCAACAATCATCATTTGGTTATCTAGTTTTAAAAATGTGTGGCGTGACCTGGTCAACCAACCAAGATGGCCGCCACGGCTAAAAATAGAACATAGGGGTAAAATTCAGTTTTTGGCTTTTAACTCAAAAACCAAAGCATTTAAAGCAAATCTGACATGGGGTAAAATTGTTCATCAGGTCAAGATCTATCTGCCCTGAAATTTTCAGATGAATCGGACAACCCGTTATTTGGTTGCTGCCCCTGAATTGGTAATTTTAAGGAAATTTTGCTGTTTTTGGTTATTGTCTTGAATATTATTATAGATAGAGATAAACTGTAAACAGCAATAATGTTCAGCAAAGTAAGATTTACAAATAAGTCAATATAACCGAAATGGTCAGTTGACCCCTTTAGGAGTAATTGCCCTTTATAGTCAATTTTTAACCATTTTTCGTAAATCTTAGTAATCTTTTACAAAAATCTTCTCCTCTGAAACAACTGGGCCAAATTAAACCAAACTTGGCCACAATCATCATTTGGTTATTTAGTTTTAAAAATGTGTGGCGTGACCTGGTCAACCAACCAAGATGGCCGCCACGGCTAAAAATAGAACATAGGGGTAAAATTCAGTTTTTGGCTTTTAACTCAAAAACCAAAGCATTTAAAGCAAATCTGACATGCAGTAAAATTGTTTATCAGGTCAAGATCTATCTGCCCTGAAATTTTCAGATGAATCGGACAACCCGTTGTTGGGTTGCTGCCCCTGAATTGGTAATTTTAAGGTAATTTTGCTGTTTTTGGTTATTATCTTGAACAGTCAGGGGCGTTACTTAAACAAGTTATTTTTTTAAGTTACTTATATAAGTAATTTTTGTTTTTAAAAATAATAAAATTACTTAATAGAGTTATTTTAAATTTCAATAGAAGCATAGACTAAATGTAGTTTTCATGAATTTTTACATCATTTTATATCATAAAATAAAGAATTTATTAGATTTGAGAGGAGTATAGAGATAAAGGGTTACTTTAAAAATAATGACAAAAATATTACTTGAATAAGTTATTTTATACATTTTTGAAAAAAATAGTAATAACACTTATTGAAGGAACATATGTAATTGATTTTGGTTACAAGTTATAAATAACTTCAAGTCTTAATTAATTCACAAGTATCTATCTATTTATATCAGTCTACCTTCAAGATTTTGGAGGAAAATGATAATTTAATAGTCCCATGAGACCAATCTTTGACCCAGAAGCGTCAGTATGAAAGATAAGTGCGTCAGAAAGTTAATTAGTGTTTCAGAAGGATTAGATTTTATATTTCATGGGAAAAATAACCAGATGACTGTGAAAATTTGTTAAAGCTACTAAAATCTGTATAATTGGACACCTATAAAAATAATATTCAGAAAAGTTACTTATATAAGTAATATTTAAAATAGCCTCGTTTTCAACATTACTTGTATAGGTAATTTTAATTGTTACTTATTTAAGTAATGCCCCTGACTGTTGAATATTATTATAGATAGAGATAAACTGTAAAAAACGATAAATGTCGGCAAAGTAAGATCTACAAATAAGTCAACATGACCGAAATTGTCAGTTGACCCCTTTAGGAGTTATTGCCCTTTATAGTCAATTTTAACCATTTTTTCGTAAATCTTAGTAATCTTTTACAAAAATCTTCTCCTCTGAAACTACTGGGCCAAGTTAATTATAGATAGAGATAATTGTAAGCAGGAAAAATGTTCAGTAAATTAAGATGTACAAACACATCACCATCACCAAAACACAATTTTGTCATGAATCCATCTGCGTCCTTTGTTTAATATTCACATAGACCAAGGTGAGCGACACAGGCTCTTTAGAGCCTCTAGTTAGAGTTCAAAATTGGAAAAACGTGAAAAGTAGCCAAAATCAGGTGGGGGTGGGAGTCTTTTTATGGCCACTACGTTACTGGTATGGGCTGTAGGTATCAACTAGTATCATAAATACATGCATAGATGGTATAGGAACACAAGGAGGTATAATATGGTCAAAAGAAATCTGGTCTGTAAAATCTAGGATCTCGTTTTGTCAGAAATCGGTAAAAACGGATGTTTAGGCATACTTGGCTAGCCAATAATAATTCCCCAGCAAGATTCTCAAGTCACATTTTCCTCCAGTCAGTATGGATAGACTGCTGTAACTGTAAGGTAATACTTGAATGACAAAGAAACACAGTTTAGTCATTGTTCATCTCTCAAGGTCGTATTAAAATAGAAAATTGACTGAAAATGACCATTTTTCAGTAGGGGTGGGTCTAAACCCACCAGAAAAACTTGCCCCTTTAATATATGAAAAACATTGTAAGTGACGAATACTTTTGGTCAGGCACTGTAGGTATTTTCAACACCATTTTGCAATTCCTTTTTGAAATATAAATTTAGTTGGAAAATTATAACTACTGTATGAGGGTGTGGATGGAGTTTACAGAATAGAGAATAATGGGCAACAATAATAAAGACGAGAGAAAAATGGGCAAAAAAAGAGAAGAATATAGAATAATGGGGTGCTAAAATATAAAAAATATACTGATTACAGAAAAGAACAATGTCCAGAATACAGTTATCAAGTAATTACAGAACAGACATTAAAGATAAAGAATAATGAGCGAACCCCCCATCCATACCCTCCTGTATGTACACGTTTTAACAAAAACACTTTTCAATGGGGACGTAACTCATTTTAATATTATACTGTTATTACCTTTCATGCAATATAACGTTCGGTGGTGATTTAGTAGTGATTAACTAAATACTGAAACACTAAAAAGAAGACTTAAAATATACGAATACCCTTACCATTGACGGAAAATCATTAACAAGGTCAAGCATGTGTTACGATACAAGAAGGACAACTCTGGGTCTTTATTTAAATATTTAAAAGAAAATATGTCGCACATGGTATGTTATAAATGTAACCGCGCTGTACTTTTTTTCCCGGGCTCCCCTTTCGTGGGAAAAATTTGGTTGATTATATAGGGAATCACTGGAGCGCCCCCCCCCCCCCCTTAGGTCGGTCAGCGGGCCCCCCTTATGAAAAGTTCTGGATCCGCCACTGACTGGGATAGCATAGAGTTTTGCTTTTTTGCCGTTCTTAATTCAGATTTTTCAGTATATTTATTAATTTCGAATAGAAAGAAATGTAAAAACATGCATACACTTTGACATGTTAATAAGAAATCTCTAAACTGAAAAATATGTGTTCTTTATAAGATATATACATAAGCAAACCGTACATATTAACATTTATATTCTAATAAAAAATATCCCATAAATTTTGAAATTAAAAAAAAAAATACTTAATAAAATTGAGAATGGAAATGGGGAATGTGTCAAAGAGACAACAACCCGACCACAGAACAGACAACAGCAGAAGGCCACCAACAGGTCTTCAATGCAGCGAGAAATTCCCGCACCCGGAGGCGTCCTTCAGCTGGCCCCTTAACAAATATATATACTAGTTCAGTGATAATGAACGCCATACTAAACTCCAAATTGTACACAAAAAACTAAAATTAAAAATAATACAAGACTAACAAAGGCTAGAGGCTCCTGACTTGGGACAGGCGCAAAAATGCGGCGGGGTTAAACATGTTTATGAGATCTCAACCCTCCCCCTATACCTCTAGCCAATGTAGAAAAGTAAACGCATAACAATACGCACATTAAAATTCAGTTCAAGAGAAGTCCGAGTCTGATGTCAGAAGATGTAACCAAAGAAAATAAAGAAAATGACAATAATACATAAATAACAACAGACTACTAGCAGTTAACTGACATGCCAGCTCCAGACTTCAATCATAAACTGATTGAAAGATTATGTCTTCATCATATGAATATCAGGCACAAAAATCCTTCCCGTTAGGGGTTTAGTATCATACCATCATAACATATATGAGAAGAACATAACCCGTGTCATGCCAACAACTGGTTTTTAAATAAATGTGTTTAGTGCCGATGCAAAGACCCTATAAGTGAATCAATATTAACGCCAAAATATGCAATCTTTAATGACCTGACAACAGTATCGTAACTATATCCCTTCTTAATAAGTCTATTTAAAGGTTTTGTTAGTTTCAGAGGTGAATACTGACATTTTTGTGCTTTATAAAGAATATTTCCATAAAAAATTGGATGTGAAATACCTGAACGTATAAGAAGTCAGCATGTTGAGCTATATTTACGAATGATGTCCTTATACCGATGATAAAATTTAGTAAATGTTTTGACTAGTTTGTGATATCGAAAACCCTGGTGTAAATATTTTTCAGTAATACATAAATTTCTCTCGTTAAAATCTAAAACATTGTTATATACACGAGCGAATCGTACAAGTTGAGATATATAAACACCGTAAGATGGTGACAAGGGAACGTCACCATCTAAAAATGGATAATTAACGATAGGAAATGAAAAATCATCTCTTTTATCATATATTTTAGTATTAAGCTTTCCGTTAATGATATAGATATCAAGATCGAGGAAAGGGCAGTGGTCATTGTTAGTATTAGCTTTATTTAAAGTAAGTTCAACAGGATAAATTTCTTTAGTATACATATTGAAGTCGTCATTATTGAGAGCCAAAATATCATCCAAATATCTAAAAGTATTATTAAATTTGTGTATCAGATGTTGTTTCGATGGGTCTTTACTGATTTTTGTCATAAATTGTAACTCATAGCAATACAAAAAAAGGTCCGCAATAAGTGGTGCACAGTTAGTCCCCATTGGAATTCCGATAACCTGACGATATACGGAATCTCCAAAGCGAACAAAAATGTTATCTAGTAAAAATTCAAGGGCATATATAGTATCAAAGCATGTCCAATTGACATAGTTTTTTTGTTTATTGCTACTAAAAAATGACCTAAAAGAGTTTGAACATATATATTCACATTCTGACTTTTTAAATGCCCATTTAATTAGGTGTGTGGATTTTTTCTTAATGAGAATGTGAGGCAATGTGGTATATAGGGTAGAAAAATCAAAACTTTGAACAGATTCAAAATCACCAATATATGCATGCAATTTATCAAGTACTTCCAACGAGTTCTTGACACTCCAAAAGTAATTAATTCCACTATTTTCGAAGGCCTTATTTGAACAATTTATTATCAGGTTTTTGATTGTACCAAGTGTACTGGTAAGAAGAATAGACAAATTAACATACAAAATGTACATGTTCATGATTTGATGTTTAGCGAGATTAACACAATTGGGTGTTAAATGTTATTTTAGGTTTGTAATAATATGCACTACATTAGGACGCACTTGTAAATGCAAAGTGTATTACCAAGTTTGCTTTAAATTGATTAACCGTTGGATGTTGAATGGCGGACAATCTTGCAAGTTTTGACAATATAGTTTCTGTGCTGCTTGACATCTCAAATGCGTGCCGCCATTCGTAAATGTATATAGTTGTCATAGGCGGATCCAGGGGTGGCCCTGGGGGGCCCGCCCCCCCCCCCCCCCCTTTTGTTGGAAACATTTGGTTGATTATATAGGGAATCACTGAAGCATGACTGGAGCGGTCTTTTTGTCATGAACACAGCAGTACTTAATTGCACCATAGACAAGATCGTTATTAAAGGTTTTGTTTGGTGCTCTATAGTTTTCGTAAATGTTATAGTCCTTTAATCACCGCATAATTATCCTTTTCAAAGTGCTCCAAAACCTGCTTTAGCTCTTCAGAAGAGTCAAACATAGCGTTTATTTCAAATTTTTTGGACAACGAAGTGTTATCTTCCTTTTTCGAACGCCAATGACTTAAATAGAAAAATTATTTCATTTAATCTGAGAAAAAATCTGAAGTAAGACCGGCAAAATAGCAAAACTCTATAAACATCGTTATTTTGCCGGTCCCGACAAAACAGCACCAAGGAGGCAATTTTGCTATTCATATATATGAATGGGTTATGATTAGTTATGATTTTGCCATAAAATATCAAATTTGTACTCATTTTGCAAAACAAAAAGCAACGTAAATCTCAATCTAATTAAAATTAAATCTCCGCACTTGCTCTTCGTTGTTTATATGTCGCGCGACATATAAACAACGAGGAGCAAGTGTGGAGATTTAATTTTAATTAGATTGCGTAAATCTTTTTGATTTTCTAAGACAGGACTAAACTAATATTTTTTTATAATTTGCCAGTTATGCACGTCTTCGAGTCAACAAATCTTAACAGGACGCTGGATATTTACCACTGGACGTAAAGCAAGCACAAATAAATCAACAAAGCTGAATATACTAAGTTAACGATCCACAAAACTATCACATTTATATATCAACAGATGACATCTACAATGAAATAAGTCAAATTTACTTTTAAAAATGAGCAATTAAAATGTCACAGGCATCCATTTCTTAAAAATTGAACAAGCATGGAGTATTGTCAAATTGTTCTAAATTTTGAATGTAGAGAAATGGAACAAAACATCAGTTTTTCGATTTTTACGGATAGGAAGTTTAACATGTGTGCACTTTACGGTACTCCTCGTTACAGAATCGTGTATCGTTTGTATGTCAGCCCAAACCCATTTTCTTTGATAGTCAGCCTATTGATTTAGAATTCAACATGTGGAACTATATTGTAAATAAGGATACATATACACATTTAAAATAAACACAGAAAGGAAATTTTGTATCTGTTTCTTAAATAAAGGGGATGAAAAAAAAACTGTCAAAAAAGGTGCAATTTGGATACTTTTATGTTATGCTGAATGCATCTATCCCTTCGAACTCGAAATAAAGGATACAGCATGCTATGAGGTGCGGATCTAGTCAAAATTATTGTATTTCAAGACCATCATAATTCGATTTCATGATATCCTTAAAAATATCAGAACCTCCATAATTTGATTTGAAGAGAAGAGAGACTTAGGGTGTATGTATAAAAATAAGAAGATATGTTTTGATTGCCAATGAGACAACTCTCCTACAGAAACCAAATGACGCAGAAGTTAACAACTATCATCTGAGGTCACCACCAACGGCCTTCACCAATGAGAAAAACACACACCGCATATATATATATATATATATAGTAAGCTATTAAAGGCCCCGAAATGACAGTTGTAAAACAATTCAAACGAAAAAACTATAACGGCTTGATTTATGTACAAAACAATAAACGGGAAAAAAATGATATACAGCAACAAACGACAACCCCTGAATAACTCGAACAGATCTTTGGACTTTTTTAGTATCCCCATCTATCAGATTCACACCGCCCATATAGAGTACATAGTTTTACAGTAACTCTTAAGCCCGGCTTTGATTGCTGTTAACATTGATGTTAATAGTTTGGAAAGAAGCTTTGTGGAGCACGTGGCAGACCAAGCAACCAAACGTTATCTGTATAAGATCCAGTTTTCGTTGTTTGGTTGAAATTTCAAAAGAACATAGAACAAACCTATGATTGTTCAGGAATTTCTCTATGGTAAGTGTCGTGGGATTATATAATTATGTTGATAAGTGAATTGTCAATACACAATTCCTTTATCAAGCAACTTATGTAATGTGATTTACAAACAATAGCTTATGATTCTTCAGTGCTTTGTCTGCGGAGACAACATATTTGTCATGGGGGTGGGACACGTGTATAGCAACATTTTGATCTTTGGAGATAGATGTAGCGTGAGAGTTCATAGACCCGTTCATTTTTTTTTAAATTCTAATCTGTATCAGCGAACTTAGGGAGCTACAATTCGATTTTTATGGGGGGAGGGGGCTAGGATGAAATTTTAAAGAAATAGGCAGGACAGGAGTTTTGAGTAAAAAAAAGTCAGGATAAGACACTTGCAAAAAAAAAAGTCAGGATGACAATTTAGGTAACAAAAAGTCAGGATAAACTTTAAAA